ATCGCAGGTTCGCGGCATGGCCGGGCCAGGGCTACCAAGCTTCTTTCTCATCCACGGTGTCGAGGGGCGAGGAGATTGGTCTCGTTATATCGATATTCAGGAGCTCGTGAATACTCGTCGTTGCCCTCCGTGACCGTAATTCGTCCACTGGATGCCTCGTCACGTTCGCACCTTCTTCGCTGCCCGAGATACGATCCGGAAATCCTGGTTCCTTTGGTTCAGCTAGAGATCAGGAGAAAATCCTTCATCGATATACCCTGATCGAATCTCGTATCTCGGACTGGAGAACACTAGAGAACCCTAGAAAACTGTGGAGAACTCTGAAGAACTCTGGAGAACCCTGAAGAACCCCAGAGAATGACAGACTCGAATTTTCCTTATGACTTCCTGTCCCGGTTTCTCCGACGATTAACCACGAGCTTGCTAGCGAGCCCTCGCTTAACCCCTGATCGTTAACCGTAATTTAACCTAGAACATGACGTCCTTGATTAGTTTTTAGCATAACGGATGGACATTCGGTGACCCGCGTAACGAAAAGATACGGTCAGGTTTGGAAACCCGGTTGCGAATCTATTATATACGAATGAAGACGTTGCGTGATCTCGTTGTCGCGAGAACGACAAGGAGAACGATCACGCACGTCCACGCGTTTAATTCGTTATCTGTTATCAACAGACCACGTGATAGCCGCGTCCTGTCCCTATGACCCACTATCCGACCTTTAATCGCGCCGACAGGATGCTCGTTCGATTAAAACTTTCTAAAATTACGTGGCACGCTATTCGGTTCATCTCGTCCACGTCCTTCCGTTCCGGTCAACGGAAGTTCGCTCAGAAAGAAACGAACTGCGCGAAACATTTTTCACTGACGTAGCTAGGCAGAGGGTGGCTCGAGAGTGGTCACGGACGACTCGTTTATAATGTTTTCTGACGTTAATAACGCATCAATCGAAGCTTTGCTGACCTGTTAGGAGTTAGATAGCAGACACCTTAGATTCAAATGCAGAAACTTTACGGAAACCACGAAACCCCCGATTAGCGAGGAATCAATTAGTTCTCGATGACTACATATAAACGTCATCTTTAAGATATTTTAGCACCACGAGGAACGAAAACAGGAACTGGAAGACAGTTGCGTCCTAGTCAATTGAAGTTCGCTCAGAAAGAAACCAACTACGTGAAACATTTTTCACTGACATAGCTAGGCAGGGGGTAGCTCACGAATAACACGTTTATAATATTTATAATATTTTTCGACGTTAATAACGCTACGACATGGACACTTTGCTGACCTGTGAAGAGTTAGACAGAAGACACCTTAAATTCAAATGCAGACACCTCTAAATCCCCAATTAGCGAAGAGTCAATTAGTCCTCGATGACTTCATTTCGACGCCATATTTAAGATATTTTTGCACGACGAGGAACGAAAACAGGAACTGGAAGACAGTTGCGTCCTAGTCAATTGAAGTTCGCTCAGAAAGAAACCAACTACGTGAAACATTTTTCACTGACATAGCTAGGCAGGGGGTAGCTCACGAATTACACGTTTATAATATTTATAATATTTTTCGACGTTAATAACGCTATGACATGGACACTTTGCTGACCTGTGAAGAGTTAGACAGAAGACACCTTAAATTCAAATGCAGACACCTCTAAATCCCCAATTAGCGAAGAGTCAATTAGTCCTCGATGACTTCATTTCGACGCCATATTTAAGATATTTTTGCACGACGAGGAACGAAAACAGGAACTGGAAGACAGTTGCGTCCTAGTCAATTGAAGTTCGCTCAGAAAGAAACCAACTACGTGAAACATTTTTCACTGACATAGCTAGGCAGGGGGTAGCTCACGAATTACACGTTTATAATATTTATAATATTTTTCGACGTTAATAACGCTACGACATGGACACTTTGCTGACCTGTGAAGAGTTAGACAGAAGACACCTTAAATTCAAATGCAGACACCTCTAAATCCCCAATTAGCGAAGAGTCAATTAGTCCTCGATGACTTCATTTCGACGCCATATTTAAGATATTTTTGCACGACGAGGAACGAAAACAGGAACTGGAAGACAGTTGCGTCCTAGTCAATTGAAGTTCGCTCAGAAAGAAACCAACTACGTGAAACATTTTTCACTGACATAGCTAGGCAAGGGGTAGCTCACGAATTACACGTTTATAATATTTATAATATTTTTCGACGTTAATAACGCTACGACATGGACACTTTTCTGACCTGTGAAGAGTTAGACAGAAGACACCTTAAATTCAAATGCAGACACCTCTAAATCCCCAATTAGCGAAGAGTCAATTAGTCCTCGATGACTTCATTTCGACGCCATATTTGAGATATTTTTGCACGACGAGGAACGACAACGTGAACTGGAAGATCGTTCCAGGGAACGAGAGTTTCAGCTACGTCTATATTTTTCACCTCCTATTACCACTCTATCTCTTCCACCCGCGTACTCATGGAAAGTTCTCCTATCTTCTAAAAGTTCCTCGACTTCGATTATGCTCGTAATCCCATTGCGGGAAGCAATAACCGCGTGACTTTTCGACTGACCGATGCGTGTATAGAGATAATAGCGGACTAAGGCGAACCTGCCTGCTAAGTCGTGCAATCTCGTTAACGAGTCGAATCCGTGCAACTATACGCGATGAGTGCACGTATGGTCGCGGGACGTGTTCGGAGGCAGCGATGACCAGCTTTTCTCATCGAGTAGCGATCGCTAGGGCTGCGATGGAAATTTCGAGGACACCGATTGCTGGCTGCGATAAGGACGCCATCCTTGGAGAACAAACGACTGCAGCTTTTCGAGGATGGTCCCTTGGAAACGCTCGAGTGCCTTATTATTCCACCTAGACCTGCGTTTGGTCCCTTCCCGAAGTTCCCCTGCTCCCTGTGCAAGGTCGATACGGTGGCTCTGCGTGGTCAGGAGGGTGCGTGTGGCGTCGATGACATTTACGAGCCGGAGGGTGCTCGAGTAGAGCGAAGTGAATCGGAAAATCTACGAAAACTCCTCGGGATTTACCCAACGCTCTGAACACCGTGTCGTAAAATCGTTACCTGTGTTCCCTGGACTAGTTGCGTCTCGTATTGACCGAGCAACCTTTTTCCTTCCGCCTCTTTCTTCCGTAACGCTGCGATTGATCATTGCTGGGATCAGGTGGTTCGTTTCTTTGTCTATCGTCGATTCCATTCCAAGTGTGCTCCATCCGATCGAGATTAGAGGTGATCGAGTGACGGAACTCTTTGTCCCGTGGATCGAGGACGCAGGCGAACCGGGGAGGGCTGGTCGGTGGAACGCTGCTGGCCAAATATGTACACGCGACTCTGGGTTCCGCCTTGCTCATCTGAAATTCACCACGTGGAGGCATTAATAGCGAGAACATGTAATCCAGCCCTTTGTACGATTCGATGCGTGGCTATGGCGCGAGCGCGTATCCGTCTAGCGGAAGCTCCCTTACCGGAAGCAAAGTACTCTGAATATTCATTTAAACGGTCCGCTAGATCCCGGTGAGAACTGGCCAGATCAACCACGTCCTCCGAGACTGTGAATCATCGCTGACCTTGAATTTCGCTCGGTCCCTTTGTTCCGATCCGCGAAAGGACACTCCCTAATTGACCGCGTAAATTCATTTGCGTTTTAATGTCCTCGTCGCGAGTGAGAAAGTGTTACATTATATACATGTAGGAAAGGAATGAGTACTGCCCTGAAAGACTGTCAAGAGTGTTTGAGCTTAGAACAAAAGTGACCGCGTGCAAGAGGATCGAACCTCGTCGCGAGTGAGAAAGTGTTACATTATATACATGTAGGAAAGGAATGAGTACGGCCCTGAAAGACTGTCAAGAGTGTTTGAGCTTAGAACAAAAGTGACCGCGTGCAAGAGGATCGAATGTAAGGGATGTTTATGACAGAGCCGAATGCAAGCGAAGAGTGAAAACCTAGGAATGCGTCTGACTGTTTTAGGATACGTGACTCACCTATTGAGAAAAAGAACGTGAGTATGAAAGAAAACAGAGTGCAAGGTTTAACCCTTTCGCTACTACGGGTGACTATAGTCACCGGCCACAAAAATTGAGTAAAAGATGACTACAGTACTGTGTTGATGGCTGTACTCAGTACTGCATTGTCAATTGTCAATGTCTCTAGCGATATTTGATCCATCCATTGACCATTCTAGAATTGCTATTGAACTTAGATGATCAGTGAAGACAAGTGCTACCATTCCTCTTAGCTCTCTTTGCAAAGAATTGCAAGCTCTATATCACTATACGTCGGTAATTGATTATTACACTTCAAAATTTCCCTCAACGTTTGATGCATCGAAACCATATTAGCAGAACGCGGTTTTGCATTTGAAAAATTCACGTTTGGCCAAATTTTTGGCGAAATTCTTCACTGTGCGACGCGCCCTGGTTAACTCTTTGGGGCACGCTGGGAGTAAAAGTGTCCCACCTTTTTGATGCGCCGTAATACATGGTGGGTCATTTTTAGTCCCACCTTGAAATATTGCAATAGCTACATGCGTATAGGTTTATATCTCGTCTTATTTACGTAAAGCAGTTGGTAATACCCTCGACAAGTGTTATAAAGGTATTCGCTCGCGTTGGCAACATTCAACATGCCAGTACAGGTTCCTCAATTGTTGCAAGCGGAAGGATTATTGCGACAATCATGTGATTCCTTTATTAGTAAAAATATACCAATTTTGTTTCATTTAAAACGCAATAAAATTTCGTGCCGCAAAGAGTTAAATAAGGGTGCAGGGGCTGCCTTGAGACAGTCCTTTGCGCAGGTTTCAGCGAGAGTTGACGTGAGGGTCGGCTGCGTGATCACAGATCAGTTATCAGTCTAGTCTTTTAGCTTATACTCTATCCCTATTCTCATTTAGCTCGTTATAAATATATATCTTAGAATAAAATGACATCTCTTCTTCTTTATATTTGCCAATCAAACATACTTATACATATTTGTCATTCCTTTCAGGGAAGAAGTCCAGGAGCACACTGTCAGATGGAACGCCAAGTTCGAGTTCCTGTGCAAGATGAGTGCCAATGCGTCTACCGGTGTTCTCGACCCGTGTATTTTAAGGATATCCGTGAGAAAGGTAGCCTTATTAAAAGTTTCCTAGTGTATCAGCCACGACTCTGACTATTCTAACGGCTTGCTATTCTCGTAGGAATTGAAGGGAGGCAGGTCCTTCCAGAAGCTCGGCTTCACCGACCTGAACCTCGCCGAATTCGCAGGAGCTGGACTCTGCAGGACGAGGTACCTTCTAGAGGGTTACGACGCGAGACACCGGCAGGACAATTCCATGTTACGCGTTGCCATCAAGATGAATATGCTGTCGGGAGATATCCTGTTTAAAGTGTAAGTCCACTTGTATTCCTCGATAATATCATACTCCTCGTAACGGAATAGCGAAGCTGGACTCGTCGAGAGTCAACCGTGTAGTCGAATCGATTGGTAAAGTTTGATGGAAATTTTGCAGACCATCTCCGTCGTTGAAGCAGACGCAACTAGCAGTACCCGGTGTGCCAGGTGTTTCCGGCGTGACGCCGGATGAAACCACATCCGAGAGGTGTCCCAATCGAGAAGACTATGTATCCAGTGGCTCGTTGGCTGGGAGCATAGCTAGTGCCAGCAGTGGTTTCGGTAGTCTTCCTAAAAAGAGGCCTGCCCTCTTTTCCTCGGGTAACGGTTCAGTTTCGTGCCTAATTCCTTCGTGTTCTTTCGGACGAAAGCGTTCAGGCGAAGACAGCATGTAGATGAAGTAAAAGAATATGAAATAGAGATTGACAGAACCTTGCGCGGGTACTTTGTCGCCAAACTCTCACCGCGTAGCTGGCTAAATAGACGCTCCTAGCTATGAAGTACAATTAACGCTAATGTGTATCTTATTGTAAAAACACTACAAAAGCCTATCGATAATAATAATCCGTGCAAAACGACTTTAGTCGCTTCCCGCCAAGATGTGACGATCCGTGCACAACGACTTTAGTCCCTTCCCGTTCAAAATAATGTTAATCTGCGAGCAATGAACCTGTAAACTGTCAAAGAGCGAATAGATACTAACCGTGTGCGAAACTCGTTGAAAGAACACTGCTAGGATGAGAGGATCGTAATGGATGCACGTAGGTGACCCCGTGTGGTTGGCAAATGTTTGACGTGGTTTCACTTTTTCAGAGCTCCTCAGCGGGGCGGAGTCGTACGATCCGATGACCCTAAGCGAAATCGTACCGTCGGTTCTTCCAGTGGAGGCTTTGGCTGAAGCGCACACGGAGTCGGGCCATTCTCGTAACAGCAGCAACACGAGTCAACTGAGCAAAGGCTCCGGCTACGGGTCTTTAAATTCACACAGTCAGCACAGTAGGCAGAGCAGTAGTGGTGACAGTGGCCACATTAGGTAAGGCCACGCGGCCACTCAGGGAACCAAACGGAAAAAAGAAAGAAAGAAACAATAGAAAACTCTTCCTCCGAGTAAACGAAAGGAGATTGAAGTTGCGAACCGGGAATTTCAAGTCGAAAGAAAGATTCAAGCCCTAATTACGTCCAGAGTTCTCTTCTCGATTCTTTCTGTAACAAGAACTTCTCGAATACTCTTCGCGTCTCTCTCATTAATCGCTTGTTACTTATCTTACCATCTCCGAAATGTTTCGCTCTGTCGATCTTTCTCTAGGATTTTTTTCCTTTTTTTTTTTTGTAAATACAGTAAACATGGTTTTCTTCTTTTTTTTCCTTTTTTTTTCTCTTCTTTTTCGATGGTCGAAAGACGTTATCACGATCAGCGTGCCTCTAACTCTCACGGTTTTTACTCGAGCGATAAGTAAGCATGGTATTTTGTATGGGATCAAGCGAGAGGAATTTTGTAACAGGAATACAGTTGCTTGTACGATCCGTTTAATTATTTCGTTTCATTCGCGGGATTATCTATCTCCGACAAGAGACGCAGCAACGAATATCATCGTAACACTGGCTAACAATTTCTCGAACCGCGCGCAACTAAATACCATGCGGTCGCGCTTGCGATTTTGCTTTGAAACTCTATGCTTACGACTCTATTTTGCCGGATCTACGAAATCTCTTTTAACTTTATTACCGGTCTCTTTCCACAAAATCGCGGTTGTCTGTCGCTTAACAAGAGAAACGTAAACACGTTCACTAACCAATCTTCTCTATGCTACCGAATTTACCACTCGGACACTTAATACCATCTAGCACGTGTTCGTTGAACGGCTGTTAACAAAAAGGTATCGATAATGATGTACGAGGAAAACAATATTTTTCTCCCACTTTTCTTCTCTTTTAATTATTTATTTATTTTTTTTTCAATTTCTTGAGACTCTGGATTCTCTTTCTTCCTATATATATATACGTACAATATATAATTTTTTTTTTTTTTCAATTTCTTCCACGTCTTCCCATTTCCGTCTTTTACGTATCGATATGAGTTTATTATTATTTTTGCATGCTTGAATATTTGTGTTGTGATCTTTATAGGTCACCCTCCTGGCCGGTATGGGCTCCACGTATTCCCAATGTCTCCCAAAATTCCTCGAACCAGCAGTCCACCAGACCCGAGACTTCTCTCGACTCGGACTCTCCTTCCTCGTCTTCCGTGATGATGATGGACCCACGAAATCGGTTCTGGTCCACGTCCAGTCCGCTCTCGTCGCGCGAGGCAAAGTCGGTGGTGCGAAATTCTATGAGATCGAGCATAGCTGCGGTGCCACTGTCGAACGAGCAGAACGAAACGAATCGATCGAGAAACGGCATTATCCCGCAAGACACGAGCCGCGTTAACGAGGACGCCAACGACAAGGTCGGCGTGTTCAGGGTACCTGGGCCGCAGGATGTGCCGCGGCATTTGCGAAAGAATTACGATAGGAACAGCTTCGAGGCGCGTAACGAACGAAACGCGGCAAACTCGGCGGCGAACGATCGGAACGGACAAAAGAACAGCGTGATCGCGCCGGTCGCAAAACCGAGAATCGGTCAGCCAGGTTGGAGAAGCATATCGAAGACCTGCGACTGCATCGAGAAGGGCAAGACCAGCCCGGTTCTGCGACTAGCCGATCAGGCCAGAGCCGTATCCTCTCCCGATCCTCTTCATAGGCCCGATAACCCCAGAGCCTCGCTACGTTCCGCGACGACCGCTCAGACCCTCAGGTAGGTTTCATTCATCAGCGACTTTCTCTTTTATGATTGTTTTTTTAATTAAATCCCCGTGTCCTTCCGTTCGATGATTTTATGCGTTCGATTTGTCACTCCCTCTGCTCTTTGTCCTACGTTAACTGCCGTTGCGTATCCGGTAGCTCTTGTGGGAACAGTCTACGGTAGTCCAACCTACTTGGGACTCGATTTCTCGAATCACCGACGTCCTTTTAAAGGAACAGTGTCCCTTGCCAGACATCGTTCGTTTAAAAGGATGAAAAGAGAGATGCTCCGTGATCAGGAAAAATAACGCAACTCATCGTGACGTGCGCGTCGAATTGGTAGGATCACGATCTTTCCGTTTTTCTCCACGTTGTGTTTTACTCTAATTTGTTTATTTCACTTGGAAACACACGATTAACCTTGTCTATTAACGTCACATTTTTACGACCAGGATTAATTATATTTTTATGTAAGTTGCAGCTTTTGATAATGAATCGTGTGCTTCTAATGCGGTTTGCGTCCGTTTCTTACAAGCATGTTTTCTCTGTTATATCATTACGTTTCCTCGGCATTATGCTCGCAATTAACGACACTCTACGTCACCGACATTCGATTGTAACGCGACACGATGCGTAACATTTTTAATCGATCAACGCCGATCACGAGCATCGAACAAACACGACAGACATCCTCGCTGCGAGTTCGGCTTTCGCTTTGCTTCATTGATCGCGCCAATCTCCCCACTAGAGACGCTAAAATTCGCCGATCTCTGCTAAACCGTCGGCGATGAAACCATTCCGTCCATTGATTCACACGGGACACGTCTGTTTCCGATTCATATGCTGCGCCTGTTCGTTTACTCGAATCGCGTTGCCATCTCACCGCGATTCAAGCAACGAGTAATCACACGTGAGTAATGTAGCAACTGTATTTGAAAGCAACAAACGTACCGAAGGGAGGATGCGTTTCGTTAATGCAACTCGCAGAAATATTAACGAAATACATCCGAGGGGTGTAACATGCGTACACTTACAAATCTGTACAGTCGCAGCGACTTGGACTTCGAAATTAATCGATCGCTCTGCGCAATATTCGATCGGAGATCGATGATTTAGGTCTTGAGCCTGGCTAAGTCGTAGACGATTAATTGGATCCGATGTATCTCGACTACCTTGAGCGATCGATGAATTTCGTCAGGCCGTTGAGGATGTATTTCGCCGAACACTTTCACAGTCGCCATTCTACTTGCAACTAAACTTGCCTCCTCCGACAAAGCTCTCTAACAAGACCCGCAAAAATCGGAGCAATGTAACCGGTTCCGCTGGCTTTCGACTGTCACGCGGTTAACGATACTCGAACAGAAGGGTCTCGAACTGTCAAAGCGTCCGCGATGTACATCGTAAAAGACGGGTGAAAGAGGCGGGTAACGCAAGCAAAAGGTACAAGGAGAAAATAAAAATAGAGGGAAGAAGCGAGGAGCGGAAGAGAGGAGGCGTAGCTTTCCTTCCAGTTTGGATGGCTTTGTGAATCCTTGCAGGGGTATTGGCGGAGGCCACCGGAAGTTGCTGGACGGGGCGGGGGGCAAGCTGGCTACGGTCGCCACCAGCCCAGCGGACTCCGAGGAGTCCTCCTTAGGGGTACCGGAAGTCGCTCCACCGAGCTCCCAGCACCGAAACAGCATAACCCCACCGTCAGTCCATGCTTTCGTCTTAATTCTCTTCTTTTCCTCTTTGTCTCGTCTCTGTTTTTTTCTCTCACTTTCTCGCTTTGCTCCTACGATGCTTCGCCGACACGCGGAATCGACACCTCTCCGAACCTGCATCTCTCTCGCCTTGTAAAAAGCCAGAAACGCGTCTCTTCGTACCCGGAAAGCCTCGCTGCCGATAAACAGCAATTCCGGGATTAGTAGAACGGGTTGCGCGTGCCGGTTATACGCGTAAAAACGATTATTATCTCGTAAAACAGCGAATCGATAAAAAGAGGTATCGTTAGAAAAAGTAAATAAAATGTTTATGTCGAGGAAATATTGTACGACAAAAATGGTGTAATAACTCCGTCGGGCAGAGATACAACGTGCGAGGTGTTGATTCATTGATTTTCATAATTAGCGCATTTGCATAACACGATTTGAGCACAATGTGCGCGATGCTGCTTTCCGCGTGTCTGCGTACAAAGGTTTGTTCGTGACGTCATTCACAGACCGAGCGATCACTGGCTGTTTTCGTGTTCCCGAGGGCATGGATAGATCCGATGAGAACGTCGAAAACGAGTGTGAACGAGCCTTGAGACATGTCCTAAGTGCTCACTCTGTGCTTCGATCGAATAAAAATTCTCAGATCTACGCAGCACGTGTGTCGTTACGACACGCCCGATCTTAGCGACAAACTTCGTTTCACACAGTTCAAAGGTGCATACGTCATATTTTTCACCGCGAATGAACTGATCGTTTTCCTTAGCGTCGGAAAATCTGACCAATCTTTAACACGTTGCTGCCGCGTGAATGTCGGTGTTTCTTGGAATCGAAAGAGTAGTATCGCTGCAGCTTACGACTTTCGATTCGTTCGTCCTCACGACGAGTGCAATGCAAAGACTGAAAGCAGTACGCGACTATGACCTTTGGACAGGGTTGGTACGGGTTGATCCATGGCACACGGTCGATCTCATCGCGGTTAGCTTGCTGCATGCGAACCCAGGTCCTTCAGCGTATATACGCACTAATTGTTCGAGGTTTCGTTGCTTGATGCACACTTTGTTTCGCTTGCTTTCGTCTATCAGAGCTTCGTCCCAAACGTGTGTTTCACCATTTCGAAACGCGTCCAAAAGACCGGGCTCTCGCTTTTGACCTTTGCGTTTGTTTCATTAGCATCATAGTAACAGCAGCTCTCTGGTGTTCCTCGATCTTTGTATCGAACGTGACAATTTTGTCAGTTTTTCCCCCTTTTTTTTTTTTTCTTGTTTTCTTTTTTGCACGCGGTGTGTCGTGGAAATTGATGGTTTTCAAATATCCCGTGTCATAGAGGAGCACCGGCCCAGAATGCAGAATTCCATTTTGTGAAAGGCGTCATCACCTCGGCATCTCGTCGTCGATCCAAGGACCGAACGTTACGGAACAATTATAAATATTTATTAGTTGTATCCCGATACTTCGTCACGGTGATTATTCGTTTCTTTAACTTTCCGACGACCGTGTCGCGAGATCATCCGCGTCGGTCCTTGGCAGTTTGAAAAAAAACGTCTCTTTTCTGCGCCGGTGCTCGAAAAAGCAGAGGTTCAAACATCGAGGTCGAGATCGCAATGGTCTATCGTTATAGCTGCCATGTTTGTTTCGTAGAAATCCCTCGGGTGGATCTGGCCTGAGCGAAACGGGATCTCTGGATCGAGCAAAGGCCGCGCTGGAGCGAAGAAAAAAGGCCGAGGATGGGACGGGGAATCCGATCTTGTGCAGAGTCGAGGTGACCAGGCCGAACCCGGACTCCTTGATCGACGAGCTGATCAAAGCAACGAATCTAGAGCAAACGGATCTCGAGAGCTCCGAGAGTACGTTCCTCCTGTTCGATTCTTATCGACTCTCTTCTTCTTCTTCTTCTTCTTCTTCTTCTTCTTCTTCTTCTTCTTCTTCTTGTTCTTCTTCCTCGTCCACCGTGTCTCTCCCGCTGGAAAAAAGAGAAGACGTATTAATCGATTGTTTATTAGCCATGTTTTTCCGACACGAAGAAGAAGATGGAGAAAAAAGAATTAGATAAGAAAAAACATAAAAACCGGTTGTTACGTAAGCAATCTAACTTACGTTCGCACTTTAATATGTCCAATTATTTATGTCAATAGCGACTGGACTTCAGCTATTCATCGCGAAAGATGGCACGACAGCGCTCGGTAGCCACGAAATCAAAAGTCAAATGCCCGCTGGTGTGTTCAAGCAGGTGGTGATGGAGGAGAATAATAGGTAACACGAAGCTATCGCGACGAGAAGACAGTACGCAAGACAGGCCAGCGCCACATTCTCGTTGGCCCTGGTGCCAGAGCTCGTCTACGAGGCATACGAGCCCCGGTAGTTACGAGGACAACGATGCTGGACGAGGGAATCGTCGTCGAGAAGACGGTGAACAGGCGGCGGAACACGGACGCCAGTGCACCTCGCCTTCCTATCTAAATTATTCCTTTCAGTTGCCTAGCTATCCTTCCGGCGTTCGGTGCTTCACGCTTCTCGTACACACCGAATGGATCATCGTCATTTACGCTCAAACGTTGCTGAACCTTTCTTTTTTTCTATACCGAGTTATTCCACGCAGCATCCGCGTTCGATCGTCACCCGGTCACGGTAAATTCAAACGATGGCCGGGGAAACCGTCGAACTCGTTCGATTTCCGATGCTAACCCGATAAACCAACGTACCGAAACGCTTCGGCGAAGGGAGTCTCGTAGAAACGCTTCGTTGATCGAGATCGACAGGGGTGCACGGAACTCGTCGATGCTGCAACGCGTATCTTCTTCCGCGAGGTCGGGGCACAATAAGAAATCACTGGATTTTTCTTTTCTTTGTTATCTCTCTTCGTCAGCCGTGCTTCGAAAGAGCGAGTCATTAGGCATCGTTTAGATACTAAAAAGCTTCGACCTGAAAGAGCATGAGAGTGTAAGAGAGGATTGTGCGATGAAAAGGCGAAGCGCGTTAATCGTTCGATGTTGATTAACGTTGAATAATGTGTGTGCACCAAACGCTTGTTCTTTTCTATCTGTGTTCACGGTTCCTTTGTCGTCCGCGTAAACGACCGTGCAGTCGCTGTAATCAGTTGCTATAAAATAGGCCGAAACGCGTTCGTCCGTTTCGATCCCCGAAAAAGTATTGATCGAGCAGCATTAAATATGTAACGGAGCGAGAGAGAGAGAGAGAGTGAGAACACGAGTCTCGAGCGTGGACCTGCTGCGCGTGCTAACGTACAAAAAATTTCAAAATGACCCGTTTTCGTCTACACTTATCCTTTTCGTCGCGTTTTGTTATCGTTTAAGCCACAAGCGTTTAGTATATACATATATATATAAATGTATAAATATATATATGTGTGTGTGTGTATATATATATATATATACATACAGCGTTCTAGCGTTCGGTTATTCAGTTGGTTCGCTCGAACCGAACGGACACGTATCGAATGTCTCCGTCGGTGTTTCGATGATGTATTTATTTTTATTCTCGGATTTAACTCCACTTTATAGTATTTCCGTCTAATATATTCTCGCGATGTGGATTTTGTCGCGATTCTCTGTATTTTTAGCCTTTACGCTGACTAGTTTTCGTTTCCGTGATTGTCCGTATGCGTGCGTGTATGCCTGCGAGGGAGAGAAAGAGTGAAAAAG